CAGATGCTAATTTTTGTACTTTTAGTAGAGACAGGGTTTCACCATGTTGATCAAGGCTGGTTTTGAACTCCTGACCTCAGGTGATCCACCCACCTTGGCCTCCCAAAATGCTGCGATTATATGAGTGAGCCACTATGCCCGGCGCATTTTTACTTTTCTGAGAAGTTTAAACATTTGTCTTCAATATATGCTGGTACTCTATTATCAAAATTATAATCTGCATTAAAGATATCATATTTCTCAATTTTTTTTTACTCTTTACCAAACTCTTAATTGTATAGACCACTTTTTACAATTGGAAAACTCAAATTGTGCAACTCAAAACAGCATTTTCATACAGTGAAATCTGAGACAGCTGGAACGATTGCACATGTTGGTAGAAGCCAAGATAGTCTCAAGTTGAGAATTCCAGGCTCTATTCTTCCATTTTTTTCCCTAGGATGACACTAGTATATGAAGTTTCACTACAGTTTCACTCTATAGGGCATGCTGCATAAGTTACACACCTCTTTAAACTGTTTACTGAGGTTAATCCCAAAAGATGACAATCCTGAGCAGTTAGGGACCTCATATCACTGTCAGATGATTGCTACAAATTGAACAATGGAAAGGAAAAGGAACACAAAATCTGAAGTTTCACTTCCATAAATTGTTTCTTGTCTTTAAAAGGTATTATCCTTTAAGGTATTCCCTTTAAAAGGTTGATCCACGGGTTTTCACGTTGTCTCTGATTTGACAGATCATAGAGATTAGGAAGCACCATTAAGAGTTATGTAATTTTACAAAGTTGAAAATCAGCAACTTTGTTCATTCCCACAAATAATACAACAAGCCACTTACAGACGATAATCTGGTTCCTGATATGTAAAAAATCTACAAATAGTCCAAAGGAGTGATTTATTATGTACTGCAGTTCAACATCACTGGGTCAGACTAATGAAAATTATCTATGCTGCTTTATGTAAGAACTCATCACTAGATATATGTAGTTGCTACTCCGCACTTGAAATGTGGCTCATGTGACTGAGAAACTCCATTTTCAATGCTACTTAATTTCGATTCACTTAAATTTAAATACCACTTGGGCTGGTGGCTACCATATTGGACAATGCAAATCTAGTGTTTATTCTTTTAAGATGCATTTCTTACCCTTAAGCTACTTTATAAAACAATTTTATAATACCATAAAAGATACATGTAGGCTGGGTACAGTGGCTCACACTTGTAGTCCCAGCACTTTGGGAGGCCTAGGCGGGTGGATCACAAGATCAGGAGTTTGAGACCAGCCTAGCCAACATGGTGAACTCCCATCTCTACCAAAAATACAAAAATTAGCTGGGCGTGATGGCACACCTGTAGTCCCAGATATATGGGAGGCTGAGGCAGGAGAATCGCTTGAACCCAGGAGGTGGAGGTAGCAGTGAGCTGAGATCACACCACTGCACTCCAGCCCAAGTGACAGTGACAGTGCAAGACTTTGTCTCAAAAAAAAAAAGATACACATAGTTGCTGTATCTTCTATCAGACAAACTCATTCTGATTTTAAAATAGCACAAAACTCTGGTAGTACTATTACATTTCTTTCAAAAATAATTAAGTGCTCTATAGTTCAGGTTGAGAATAACAAATCTGTAAGATGAGCAAGTGTGGCAATAGCTGAGAGAAAATGCTTAATTCTTTAGAACTATCTTCTAAACGATTGCTAAACTGAACCCAACCCTTTTTCGCAATCAAAACAAATGAGGCGGATCTCAAAGAGTTAAAAAACTGATCTCTAAATAGAATTCACATTTACCAAAATGACATTTTTTCACCAAACATAACATTCCCATTCCTTAAGTAAGTTTCACAGTTTTACTTGGAATTTCAAATACCAATGGGAGGTCAATGAAAGAAAAACAGACCAGGCAAAGTGGCTTAGGCTGTAATCACAGCACTTGAGGGGGCATGATTAAATATTACTCACATCTGGGCTCAAGCAGTCCAGGAGGTGGGCAGATCACTTGAGCCCAGGAGTTGGAGAACAGTCTGGGCAACATGGTAAAACCCTGTCATGTTGGGGTTATTTTTTTACAAAAAAAAAATTAAAACCCATTATTTTTTATAAAAAGTTTAGCCAGGCATGGTGGTGCACACCTGTGATCCCACCTAATGGGGAGGCTGAGGTGAGAGGATCCCTTGAGAGTCCATGAGATGGAGGCTGCTGTGAATCATGATTGTGCCACTGAAATGCAGCCTAGGCAAGCATAACCCTGTCGAAAAGAAAAGAAAAAGGAGAAGGAAGGAAGGAAGGGAGGGAGAGAGGGAGGGGACAGAGGAAAGCAATGAAGGAAAGAGAAAGAAAGATGGAAAGAAAGAGAATGAGAGAGAGAAAGAAAGAGAAAGAAAAAGGAAGGAAAGAGGGAAGGGAGGAAGAAAAAAGAAAAGAAAGAAGGAAGGAAGGAAGGAAAGAGAAAGAAAGAAAGAAGGGGAGAGAGAGAGAGAGAGAAAGAAAGAAAACCTAAAGAATCCATTTAACCCTTCCAGGCACCCTTGAGGGCTTCCCTATGAAAGTCCCAAAGAGCCTGGCACCTTTGTGACTGAAATCCCAGCTGTGAGGCTGAGGCGGGAGGATCTCTTGAGCACAGGAGATCAGCTTGGGCAACATGACAAGACCCTGTCTCAAAAAAAAAGTCCCTAAGATCTCTAGCAATATATGCAAGAATTTAGATTATAGCTTTAACAATTCAGCATTAAAACGTCCTGCAAGCTTGGGTCACAGAACATGAACTTTATTTTGATTCATGCTCTTTGCCCTCATGTATATCCTACGCTAAGTACATAGAAAAATGATATTTATCAAAGTATTTCTTTAGACTTCCTTGCAAATCTGTAATTTCTGAAAGTCATATTTGCATTTGAAAATTGAATTTCCCTAGAGATGCTGGCTATCATAAAAGCAGAGACCTGGTATCTACTATTTTCGTGTCCTTCAGAGTTACTCATATCCTGTTCTCAAGTATTTCTATTAAGTGAAAGATTAAATCAATGTGTCATACTCTATTACAAGGTAGTTCATGCCTGTAATCCCAGCACTTTGGGAGGCCAAGGAGGGTGGATCACTAGAGGTTAGGAGTTCAAGACCAGCTTAGCCAATATGAAACTCTGTCTCTACTGAAAATACAAAAAATAACCAACCCGGCGTGGTGGCGGGTGCCTGTAATCCCAGCCACTTAGAAGGCTGAGGCAGAAGAATCGCTTGAACCGGTGAGGCAGAGGTTGCAGTGAGCTGAGATAGTGCCATTGCACTCCTGTCTGGGCAAAAGAGCGAGACTCAGTCTCAAAAAAAAAAGGAAGTATCAACATCATGTACCCAATAAAACACACTGAGATAGAAACTTCACTTCTGTAACATTTTTCCCAAAATATGGAACATTCATCTAATCATGACAGTAAACATCAAACAAATACAAATTGGAGGGGCATTCTACAAATTAAATGACTGGGTCTTCAGCGAAAGGCTGTGGAACTGTCACAGATAAGAGAAAATTAAGGATATTTAGCAGTTAAATACAAAGCAAGATCACTGATTCGAACCTGGGCAGAAAAAGGACGGTGGAAAGACAAATGAAATCCAAATGAAGTCTGTAGTTTAGTTCACTGTATTATAGTAGCATGCTCATGTTATTAGTTTTTTTTTTTTTTTTTGGCCAATTTTCAGTAACTCTCAAATTATTTCAAAATTAAAAGTTATAAAGTAAATAATAAAATAACAAACATGTTTCAATGTTTATAATGGAAGGGTAATGTTAGACTTAACATGCCATTTTTGTTGTTGAAATCTTCCTCACCAAGATCTATACAATCCAGTCAAAGCTGTACTCTGAAAGCGTTGTTTTGTAAAGAATATCACATCAAAAACATCTCTTCCTTTTTACTCTGGCGTTTTTACCACTAGCTGACAAGCTTGAGGGATGTCTCTAGCACTGAGAGGGGAGTAAGAACATGCAACCCTTTATGTTCTGGGGACAGGTAAATGACAAATTATTGGTCAATCTTTTTAAAATACTAACATTAACAAATTTTTCCTCCACCTGTAGTAACTTCCATGCTCAGTGGGTTTTTGCCATCCAATATCAACTTTAGCTTCATACATTTGGAGAAAGGCCAAGAGTCTTACCAACACACACTTAACACACTGGAACCCCGAATCAGTTTGCACCAGAGCATCATTTTCTGAAAAACCACTCTGAATTGTCAGTTTTAAATTGCACACTCACTTTCAAATGAAACTGAGAGGCTAAAAAGGTAATTATCTCGTTTCAATGGCTACCTATTTTCAAACAAATACATACACAATGCCCACCAACCTTTCCAGACACACACTCTCAGCGCATTGGCTTTTACCATTCACTCACACAGCTTAATAGCGCTCGGTCTTTTAACCAGAGGCTCAGGATCTCAGGATGCGCGCCCTCAGAGGCAGAGCTTTAACAATCATTAATGTAAATGTTGGTAAATCATTGATGTAAATGATGTCATCCGGACCATCCAAACAAACCCTAAAGCAGCAGTTTACACTTAACAAGACCACCAAGCTCGTGCACAGTGCATTCCCAAATCCTCCCCAGCTCCTCTGCAGGCTGCCTCCTGACCAAGTCTGAATCTCAGCGGGAGTGGCGGGAACGGTCTCTTCCCTCCTGCGCGCCCGGAACCATTTGTGTGGGCACAGCACACAACCCTTCCGCGGCACAACCCCTTCCCAGGACCACACCAGGCGTGCCCACGCATTCCCCTGGCGCCGGACACTCACCCGCGTGGCGGCCGGCTAGGACGCTATCGGAACCAGCGGCGGTTGCCGGCCTCAGGAGATCCGGACACCGAGGGTGTGAGCTCAGGCAGCGCCTCGGACTGTGGACAGCCAGAGCTGAGCGTGTGGCCCCGCCCCCGTGTGCCTGGTTTCCCCTGGGTCGGGGTTCGCTGGCCGGGGTTAGGCGTGGCACCGCCTGCCTGGCCGCGATAACCGCCCTGCGACCCCGCTGAGAACGCACACATGTCCCACGGCGCTGAGCTGCCTGCTGGATGGGAACCGCCCTCCCACGGGAGTGGGGTCACCGAGACGACTATGCCGGGACACGCAGGGACAAGCCAAATGGGGATGGTACGAAATGGATCGGCGTGAAAACTCCGAGAATCACCTGGAGCTCATCGGGCTGATCAATACCTTGTCTGATCTAGATGGGTTTGATCGCCGCCAGCGGCTGGAGCGCCGAAGCACCGGGGATGCTGACGCACAGGTTAGCCAGCCACAAGCGCTCCTCACTCCCAGAGCAATTAAGTGGGTGGTTTCTGGTGAATGGCCTTCTAAGAAAGTGGATGCTTGCGCCCCAGGGCCTAAAAAAATCAGGGACTGAATCTAACCCAGGGAGGGAAAGGGGAGAAACTTTGAATGAAAATATTACCATAGTTTAAATATTATTCTTCACACTCCTGTGATTGACGTACTTCTGTGCAATATTCTGATTGTGTGGAAAGGCTGGAAAATGATTGTGTAGGTTTCGGAAACGGGCCGTCAGGCTCTGTGAGTATAGCCATTCGATAATCTTCCTTCGGGTATATGCGTCTGCCCTATGAAATTAGTACCTGCATGCAGATATTTTCTGGTTTGCATTTACAAACAAAAATCATAATATCACTTAAATTGTTTAAATCAACTCTAGAAATAACTATTAATTGTTCACCCAATGCAGGAAAGTTTTAGCCAGGAAGCCTACATAAGAAAATTGACTGTACGTAATTTTTTTTAAAAGCATTTTTAAAATACCGTACCGCATGCCTTTTGAAAGAACTTTAAGGTATATATTCATGATGCGTCCCAACATTTGGGTAAAATTATTCTTTTTAATTAATTTCTGTCAGTTTCAAGACCCTTAAAGACCCATATAGAAATACATTTTAGTCATACTTCATTTTAAGACAAAATTAAGGCCATCGTGGTAGCTCATGCCTGTAATCCCAGCGCTTTGGGATGCCAAGGTAGGCGGATCACTTGAGGCCAGAAATTCGAGACCAGCTTGGCCAACATGGCGAAACCCTGTCTCTACTAAAAATACAAAAGTTAGGTAGGTGTGGTGGCAAGCCACTTGGCAGGCTGTAGTAGTAATCCCAGCTACTCAGGAGGCTCGGGAAGAAGAAATGCTTGAACCCCAAAGGCAGAGGTTACAATGACCCAAAATCCTACCACTGCACTCCAGCCTGGGCCACAGAGTGAGACTCAGTTTCAAAAAAAGAAAAAAAAAAATTAAGATACAATTTTCTTTTTTAAAAATTATACTTTAAGTTCTGGGGTACATGTGCAGATCAGGCAGGATTGTTACATAGGTATACACATGCTGTGGTGGTTTGCTGCATCCATCCCCCTGTCATCCACATTATGTATTATAAAGTTTTCAGACCTGGCCTTTAAAGATTGTTTGTGAAAACTGAAAAATCTCCGAAGAATAAATTTTATTTTAATTTTCTTTTTAGCTTACCCAGACAAGTGAAAAGAATAAAATTTTATACCAGAAAAAGTGAAAATATTTCCACCAAGATCTGAAGGCTCTAAGGAGGAGACCTAATAAAAATGGAGAAAACACACATGAAATTGATTTTTAAAAACAGGTACTAAGTTGAATGTAGCATTCTGTAATTATGTAAAATAAAAACAAATCAAAAACCTAAACATAGAGGCCAGGCACGGTGGCTTACACCTATAATCCTAACACTTTGGGAGGCCAAGGTGGGTGGATCACCTGAGGTCAGGAGTTCAAGACCAGCCTGGCCAACATGGTGAAATCCCATCTCAATTAAAAATACAGAAATTAGCCAGGCATGATAGTGCATGCCTGTAATCCCAGCTACCCCAGAGGCTGAGGCAAGAGAATCGCTGGAACCAGGGTGGCAGAGGCTGCAGTGAGCCAAATTCACACCACTGCACTCTGGCCTCGGCAACAAAGCAAGACTCCATCTCACAAAAAAAGAAAAAAAAATTACACTTTGGGAGGCAGAGGCCAGTGGATTGCTTGAGCCCAGGAGTTCAGGACCAGCCTGGGCAACATAGTGAGATCCCATCTCTAAAAAAAAAAAAAAAAAAAATTTTTTTTTAATTATACTGGGTGTGGTGGCTCAACCTGTAATCCCAGCACATTGGGAGGCTAAGGCCAGAGGATTTGCTTGAGCCCGAGAATTTGAGACCAGCCAAGGCAACACAGGGAGCCCCTGTCTCTAAAAAAAAAAAAAAATTTAATTAGCTGGATGTGATGGCACATGCCTATGGACCTAGCTTCTTTTGGGGCTGAGGTGGAAGGATTGCTTGAGCCTGGGTATTCAAAGCTGCAGTGAGCCATGATCAGAGTGAGACCCCACTCTAAAAAAAAAAAAAAAAAAAAAAAAAGAAAATAGCAGGAAAGTTGTTCATTTTTTCTGGGTAGTAACATGGAATTTATCTTGTATTTTATTGTAATTTTCTAAATTTGATGTAACAAATTTAGGAAATTGTAACTTTTATAATGAAAAAGTGGATTTTGTCTAAATGTAAAATAAATTGATAAAATATACATATAAAGACACATGACAATACTTAGAGTCATATCCTCACTTGAAAGAGGACTAAAACTAAAAAAATTTCTGCCTTATTTTTAGTCTAATTGTAAAAATATTTTAGATTGCAATTTTTTCATATTTATGTCAGTTTATTTGCTAACTAAAGTTATATTGGGGGCAGTAGTAAATTAAATAAATAAAAATTAAAAATAAAGCTATACACTAATATATATTAGGATGAGTTTCCTAATATATATTAGGTTCCTAAGCTCATCCTAATACTTTATCAAATTCTATTTGATAAGTTCAGATTAAAGCCAGCATTTTATAAATGTATTGTATCATATAGAAATGAGTCATTTTAACTTGCAAGTTAGCATTGTTTCTGGAGCTAGTCATAGAATTTTAGAGAAAAAGGACCTTCCTCTTTAGGTCAGATGTTAGATGACCTTCCTCATTTTATAGATAAGTCACTGGTCCAAAGGAGACTGATTTGCACAAGGTTGAAGGTTAAATGACTCAGTCTTCCAGGCCATTGCCATCTGCCCTCCACCATATGACCTTTCTTTTATTTTACCAGAGTCACTGCCCAGTATTTATAGAGCCCCATATTGGGACTTCTGCTGAATGCCTGTGCACCAGTTGCAAAGAGTTGTCAAGGGCCCAGTATGGTACCTTTCTTAGTGCTTACTCCAAAGGTGAACTCCAGAATGGTCAATTTTCCCCTGGCAAATTCAGGTTTCAGACAGAATTCATCATGGGCTGGGGACATTTGGGTTACATATATAACAGAGGTATTCAGTGCAAGTGTATCTATTTTCACTACCACTCCAAGTTAAAATAAAAAGCAGTGGAAGAGAGGCTCTATGTGCAGTATTCCCTCACAGCCCACCTCACAGCAATTGGCCTTTGACTAATTTGGCAAGAAAAAGTTCAATCTATAATGGTGCAAAAAGTTATTGTAAATAAAATAATGGAAACAGTTTAAACAACTCTTCCTAAAGATTTCAGTATAAAAGGAAGGTGAGGGAAAGGAATATAGCTAGAGGCTATCTTAGGGTTCAGAGAAAATACTTATTTGGTTTTAATTAGATGGGCTAGAACATGTGTGCATGCCAGGAGGAAAAGCCATAAAGAAAGAAAGGTGGTTACTGGTAGTAATGGGATCCAGAGGAATTAGAAAAGAAAAGGGAAACTTTAGAATCCCTCATTCTAACTTGGCTCAGGCAGAATGGCTCCCACAAAGAAAGGTGGTGAGAAGAAGGGCCATTCTGCCATAAACGAGGTAGTGACCCAAGAATACACCATCAGCATTCACAAGTGCATTCATAGAGTGGGCTTCAAGAAGTGTGCCCCTGGGGCACTCAGAGAGATCCGGAAATTTGCCATGAAGGAGATGGGAACTGCAGATGTGTGCATTAATACCAGGTTCAACAAAGCTCTCTGGGCCAAAGGAATAAGGAATGTTCCGTACCACATCTGTGTACAGTTGTCCAGAAAACAAAATAAGGATAAAGATTCATCAAAACAAGCGCTATAATTTGGTATGTACCTAGTTATCTATGTATCTGTTACCACTTGCAAAAATCTATAGTCAATGTGGATAAGAACTAATCAGCATCAAATACATCAAAGTTATAAAATTGCCTTTTTTTTTTTTTTTTTTTGAGACGGAGTTTCGCTCTTGTTACCCAGGCTGGAGTGCAATGGCGCAATCTCGGCTCACCGCAACCTCCGCCCCCTGGGTTCAGGCAATTCTCCTGCCTCAGCCTCCTGAGTAGCTGGGATTACAGGCACGTGCCACCGTGCCCAGCTAACTTTTTTTGTGATTTTTAGTAGAGACGGGGTTTCACCATGTTGACCAGGATGGTCTCGATCTGTTGACCTCGTGATCCACCCGCCTCGGCCTCCCAAAGTGCTGGGATTACAGGCTTGAGCCACCGCGCCCGGCCATAAAATTGCCTTTATAAAAAAAAAAAAAAAGATAGGGTTTTGCTGTATCCCTACCCAAATCTCTTTTTTTTTTTTTTTTTTTTTTTTGAGATGGAGTCTTGCTTTGTTACCCAGGCTGGAGTGCAGTGGCGTGATCTAGGCTCAGTGCAGTCTCTGCCTCCCGGGTTCAAGAGATTCTCCTGTCTCAGCCTCCTGAGTAGCTGGAATTACAGGCACGTGCTACCACACCCAGCTATTTTTTTTTTTTTTTTTTGAGACGGAGTTTCACTCTTTTCACCCAGGCTGGAGTGCAATGGCGCGATCTCGGCTCACCGCAACCTCCGCCTCCTGGGTTCAGGCAATTCTCCTGCCTCAGCCTCCTGAGTAGCTGGGATTACAGGCACATGCCACCGTGCCCAGCTAATTTTTTGTATTTTTAGTAGAGATGAGGTTTCACTATGTTGACCAGAATGGTCTCGATGTCTTGACCTCGTGATCCACCCGCCTCGGCCTCCCAAAGTGCTGGGATTACAGGCTTGAGCCTCCGCGCCCAGCCGTAATTTTTATATTTTTAGTAGTGACGGGGTTTTGCAATGTTGGCCAGGCTGGTCTCAAAGTCTTGACCTCAGGTGATTCACCTCGCAAAGTTCTGGGATTACAAGCATGAGCCACCACGCCCGGCCACATCTTGAATTGCAGTTCCCATAATCCCCACATGTCATGGGAGGAACCTGGTGGGAGGTAATTGAATTATGGGAATGATTACCCCCATGCTGCTATTCTCCTGATATAGTGAATTCTCAGGAGATCTGATGATTTTATAAGGGACTTTTTCCCTTTTGCTTGGCACTTCTCCTTCCTGCCACCATGTGAAGAAGGATGTGTTTCCTTCCCCTTCTGCCACAATTATAAGTTTCCTGAGGCCTTCCAGATATGCCAAACTGTGAGCCAATTAAACCTCTTTCCTTTGTAAATTACCCAGTCTCAGGTATGTCTTAATAGCAGCAGCAGAACAGACTAATACAGAATTATAGCAAAAGAGAAGGAAGTTTGATATATCCTCATGAAGGTAAATGGGTTTTTTACTGTTGTTTTTTGTTTCTGAGACAGAGTCTCTCTGTTGCCCAGGCTGGAGTGCAGTGGCACAATCTCAGCTCACCACAATCTCCACCTCCCGGGTTCAAGTGATTCTCCTGCCTCAGCCTCCTGTGTTGCTGGGACTACAAGCATGCACCACCACACCTGGCTAACTTCTGTATTTTTGGTAGAGACATGGTCTCGCCATGTTGCCTAGGCTGGTCTCGAACTCCTGGCCTCAAGTGATCTGCCTGCCTTAGACTCCCAAAGTGCTGTGATTACAGGCGTGAGCCACCACGAGTGGCTGAGGTAAGCGTTTTAATTAGAGAAAACTGAAATAAATATCTGGCCCATAACTATACTTTCTCTCTGAAGTTGATGGATATGCTGAGGGTATGGGTGTGAACGGCTGATTTTGGATTTGGTAAAATGATGAATATTCAAATCGACTTTATTAGTTTTCTATTGCTGCCATTAAACATTGCCACAAACTTAGTGGTTTAAGACAACACAAGTATATTACATTTCTACAGGTCAGAAGTCTAAAATGGGTCTGGTGGTCTAAAATCAAGATGTCAGCAGGTCTGTGTTCCTCTCTGGAACCTTTTTCACCTTATAGAGGCCACCTGCATTCCTTGGCCCTTTTCTCCATCTTCAAAGCCAGCAGCATAGCAGCTCTGTGACCCTGCTTCTGTTATCACATCTTTGATTTTTTTTCTGCCTCCCTCTTCCACCTTTAAGGACCCTTGGTATTACCATGGGCCCACTGGATAAGCCAGGATAATCTCCCTATTTTAAAGTCATTTGATTAACAATCTTCATTTTATCTGGAACCTTTAATTCTCCTTTGCTTGGTAACCTATCATTCACATTCTAGGGAATAAGACATGGACACATTTGAGAGGCCATTTCTTCTGCTCACCACTAGGCCACAGGAAATCAAAGTGGATGCTAATGGAGGAACCCATTGTCACCCACTGAGTTAATATGAAGAGTATTTTAAACTAAAACATTTAAGATACAGCAGATACAGAAAGAAGCCTTTCTGGAACTTCCCTTAATTTGACTAAAGGCAGAGATTTCAGAGAGTGAAGCTGCCATAAATTCCCTCTTGGGGAGCTTCACTGCCAATAAGGAGACTTCACTGCCAGGAAGAAAGCTCCACTGCCGGAAGGAGACCACTTCCACCAGAATGCAAACTGCATAACCGAACAATCACAAATTGCCTTGTCTTCATCTGTTTCCCTAAAAGCCCATTTGTCTTTCCTTTTATGGAAAGGAAAGCGTATTTGTTTTCCCATAGATCCCTTTCTCTCCTCCTCCCTTTTCCCATATTGTTGGCATATAAACTCCTATCTCTAACTGTACAGAGAGCCTCTTCACCTGAATAAGTATAAATAAACTTCGTATGTTCTGTTAATCCATCTATTACCAATTAACTTACAGGCCCCCAAGCACTGGACCTAAGTGGGCAGAGGAAGAGTTTCCTCCCAACGCTGATATGAGACATAGAAACTGTACAGCAACACCAAGGCCCCTACAATGGGACTCTATAAACAGTGGTTTGAAAGCTGCAAATGGGCGTGGCTTTCTCATTTACAAATATATGAAGGTAAAGGGTTAGATAAATTCTAGGGTATGGTTTTGCTGGGTGGGTAAGGCAACACAGAGATGAAGCAAATGAGTTGTATGAGTGAAGTCATTCATCATCATAGGAAAGCGAAGTACACGGAGGGGTCACATGGAGATGGCAAGAGCTGAAACAGGAGGATCAGGTCACTGAGTGGGATACTGGCATTTAATATTCACATTACAGGTTTTGATAAGGTCCCACGGTTTGAACACAAGAGTGAGGTTATGGAAGTGGAAGGGAAGTGTATTTGGTGTATTTGTTTTCTGTTGCTTGAGTAACAAATTACCATCAAGTTAGTGTCTTAAAACAATACCCATGTATTATCTCCCAGTTATTGAGGTCAGAAGTCTAGGTTAGGTTAGGCTTTGCTCAGGGTATCAATAGGCCAAGTAAAAGTGTCAGCCAGCTGAACTCTTAGCTGGAGGCCTTCAGTAAAGAACCAAGCCGAGTCAGGTTGTTGGCAGAATCTATTTCCTTTTGGTTCCAGGACTGAGTTTCCTGTGTCCTTGCTGAATGTCAACCAGGGGCACCCTCAGCTCCTCCAGACTACCTGCATTTCTTCCCAGGTGGCCTCTCCACTTTCAAAACAGTTTGGGTCCTTCTCAAACTTTGAATCCAACTGTCCCTTCTGCATTTTCTTTTCTTTTTTTTTTTTTTCTTTTGAGATGGAGTCTTGCTTTGTTGCCCAGGCTGGAGTACAGTGGTGCAATCTTGGCTCATTGCAACCTTCACCTCCCAGGCTCAAGTGATTCTCCTGCCTCAGCCTCTCGAGTAGCTGGGACTACAGATGTGCACCAACATGCCTGGCTAATTTTTGTATTTTTAGTAGAGATGGGGTTTCACCATATTTCCCAAGCTAGTCTTGAACTCATGACCTCAGGTGATTCACCCACCTCAGCCTCCCAAAGTGCTGGGATTACAGATGTGAGCCACTATGCCCAGCCTCCTTCTGCCTTTTAAAGGACTTATGTGATAAAATAAGGGCCGCCTTTACAATCTCAGTATTTTAGAGTCAACTGACTTAAGGCTTTAGTTATAACGTCAAAATCCTTCAGATCAGAACCTAGATTACTGTTTGATGAAATAACTAGGAAATGAACTGGAAAGAGGGTTAGGGAAGAGGCAGATCTTTAGAATTCTGCCTGTCCTGGAGGTGGAGTTGAAATCAGAGAGCACAGAAGCTAGGGTAATGGGATGATCACCAAAATAAGCACAGATGTTACCAAGACAGTAATAATCCGAGATTATTATTATTATTGTCAGAAAACAGGTGTCAAAGTATTTTAGACATGGAAAGTGAACAGAAGGTGAGTATATGATGGCATTTACACAGAGAGGGACAGCATGGGAGAGGGGGCAGGGGATTGGGGTAGTGAGAGCCCAGATGCTGGAGACAGAACACCTTGGTTCATATAATTTGCTTTATACAGCAGACAAGTGACCAATTAAGAATTAATTCATTTGGTTATAAAGTTCATTTGGGGCTGGGCACAGTGGCTGACACCTGTAATCCCAGTACTTTGGGAGGCCAAGGCAGGCGGGTCATGAGGTCAAGAGGTCGAGTCCAGCCTAGCCAATAAGGTGAAACCCCGTCTCTCCTAAAAATACAAAAAACAGCTGGGCATGGTGGCACACACCTGTAGTCCTAGCTACTTGGGAGGCTGAGGCAGGAGTATTCCTTGAACCTCAGAGGCGGAGGTTGCAGTGAGCCAAGATCACGCCACTGCACTCCAGCCTGGCAACAGAGCAAAACTCCATCTCAAAAAAAAAAAAGAAATTTCATTTGGTTATAAAGTTTATTTAGTTATAAATAAACCCCTAAAAATTAGACTGCAGTGAACAAAAATGTAGGTATTGATAATTAACCTGCTGAGTCAGATAGTATAGTAGAGCGTTTAACAGTTGTCTCTGCAAATTAGGCTGAAAGGTTAAATGTTGAGTTCACCAAACTACATTTCAGTACCTATAAAAGTCTTTTGTTTAAACTTTGGAGGGCAGTATAACATACACACCAAAAAAGTACAGAAAATCTGAGTAGACAGCTTGATACGTATTTACAAAGTGAACACACCGGTATATCTATCACCTGGATTAAAAAATAAAGAGAGTGCTAGCAATGCCACAGAGGCCTCCTTCAAGCTCCATCCCTTCCAAAGGTAACAACGATTCTGATTCTATCATTATATATTAGTTGTGTCTGTTTAAAACTGTATATAAATGAAGTAGTTTTTTTTTTTTTTTTTTTTGAGACAGGGTCGCACTCTGTCATCCAGGCCAGAGTGCGATGACACAATCTCAGTTCAGTGCAGCCATGGCCTCCTGGTTAAAAGCAATTCTCCTGCCTCTGCCTCCTGAGTAGCTGTGATTACAAGCCTGCACCACCAAGCCTGGCTAAGTTTGTATTTTCAGTAGAGATGGGGTTTCACCATGTTGACCAGGCTGGTCTAGAACTGACCTCAAATGATCCGCCCACCTCGGCCTCTCAAAGTGCTGGGATTACAGGCGTGAGCCATCATGCCCAACCAAGCAAGTAGTTACCCTTTTGAGACTGGCTTCTTTTCTTGAATATTATCTGCATGGAATTCATATATTTTGCATGCGATGTCATAAAGGCTTATTCACTCTTTATGTAGGATTTCATTGTATGAATACAATGTCATTTATCTATCTACTCTTGATGGGCCTTTGGGTCCTTTCCAGTTTTGCAATACACCCTAAAGTGTCCAATTGGAAAAGAGTTCTAATGGTCAGTTAAACCCATCATCCACAAGTATTGCTAAATGGAGGCCCAAAATGTGAAACTATTTTCTCCCTTTGATTCTGCTCCAAACAGCACAAACAAAACAAAAAATAGCAAGAGGATTAATATTGTAGAAGAAAGCAAATAAGTAAATGATGGTTCCATTTCTCCCTCAAACAGATGTTATCCAACCCCTCATTAAGCAATGTTTTATTGAGGCCTACCTTACATTAGGGCCCATGATTGGCATTGAAGAGAAACAAGACACAGGTCCAGGCAAGGTGGCTCACGCCTGTAATCCCAGCACTTTGGGAGGCCAAGATGGGTGGATCGCCTGAGGTCAGGAGTTCAAGACCAGCCTGGCCAACATGGCGAAACCCTGTCTCTACTAAAATACAAAAATTAGCTTGGCATGGTGGCATGCACATGTAATTCCAGCTAGTTGGGAAGCGGAGGCAGAAGAATCGCTTGAACCTGGGAGGCAGAGGTTGCAGTGAGCTGAGATCATACCACTGCACTCCAGCCTGAGTAGCAGAGTGAAACTCTGTCTGCCCCCACACAAAAAAACCTGCATTTTAAAACTTTTTTCTTTCCTCCTTTCTTGCCAGTCTCAAGATGCAGCTTTGAGACAAACCACAGATATGTTTCTGTCATCTTAAAATATGCCTTAGAATATTCTTTAACAATCTATTCCCTTCCCTTTCCCACCTTATGCTTCCATGCCTAATGCACATTTATTTACCTGGATGCTTGTTAAACTCACACCATACTCAGTTATCTGGTCATATATTTCCTTAGAGGCTTCAGGGAACTAATCCTACACAAAACAGGCGCTTCTGGGATTCTCTCCCCAGCAGGAGATTACTTACAGGCCAGAGTTCACTCCCAGCTAGATACTGACTGCAAGACTGATTGGGATTGATTTGTAACTTGGCTGAACCCACCAAGGTGCTGGCCTTTTCACCAAATGGAACAATAATTCAAAATAAGCCATTGGGGCAAGCCATACCACCTGGCATCTGCTAGCTCCCTTGCCTCTCCTGCATTCAAAGCCCCTCTTTTGAAACCCCTGCCCTCTCTCCAGAAATTGGAAAGTGGAAATTTTGGAAAAGTATTCTGACCACTTTCCCCTTGCTGGCAATGGATAATAAAATTTGCTCTTTATCATACCTCGCTCTTGTTATTTTTTCTTCATTCCACAGGCAGCGAGCAACCGGTTTCTCTTTCAGTCATAAATGTAATGTTTTAGAAGTTTCATCTGATCAACCTAAATGCCCATAATTAGCAGATGGGATAAAATGCACTGGTGTATATGTACACACCATGAGGGTGTAAGACATACATACCATGAAATACTATACAACCATAAAAAAGAACGAGAACATGTCTTGCAGGAACATAGATAGAGCTGGAGACTATTATCCTTAGTAAAGTAACACAGGAACAGAAAACTAAACATCACATGTTGTTACCTATAAGTGGGAGCTAAATGATGAGAACTTGTGAACACAAAGAAGGAAACAACAGACACTGGCGTCTACTTGAGGGTGGAGGTTGGAAAAGGGAGAGATGCAGAAGAAGTAACTTGGGTACTAGGCTTAATACCTGGTTGATGAAATAACCTGTACCACAAGCCCTTGTGACACAAGTTTATTTATACAACAAACTTTCACATGTACCCTTGAACCTAAAGTAGAAGTTAAAAAAAAGATTAATCTGTTCCTGTATAGAATGGATGGGGGATGTGGGAAGGCAGAGATCAGTCTGGAAATTTTTAAAAAAATGATTGAACTAAACAGATGACTTAAATTGAGGAAAGGGGCATCAAAGAAACACTTTAAATGAAGAATTTACAGAAGCTGGTGACTGATAGAACATCAAAGGTAAAAGACAAAGAAGCTAGAGCTGACTTCAAGGTCTGAAATTCTTGGGGTTTCATAAATGGAAATTATGAGGTATAGGAAAGTGTGCCTTACACTTCAGTGTATTTCCATATATTACCTAGTTCAGTGCCTTGAACACAAGCAATACTCAATAAACATGTGCTTTCTGAACAATAAAAGTGAGCTTATCTTATGTGATTCAGGAACCTATTTACCCTTACCTGAGTCTCCCTTGCTTGAAAATGGAGAGGAGTTTCATGAAAGACTGACCTTTCATATAATCCATCTCTGACGACTATAAACATTTTATTGCCTATAGAGATAAGATTTTATTTGTGGGAGCAACTAAAGTTAAAGCACAATAAGCATTAAATAAACTTATGATTCATTGTACAGTGACTTGGAATTTTTTCACATCTGGTTGACATACTTAATATATGATGTCAACATCTCACCTAGAACTACATTTTAGTCTTCCCTATGTCATCATAATATTAGACCAAGAAACACATTATACTATGTGTAACAAGGCCATCAGCCAATCTATTTTTTTAATTCTTAATTTTAATTTTTGTGAGTACATAGTAGGTATATATATTTATGTATACATGAGACAATGTATAGTAATCACATCATGTAAAATGGGGTGTCTGTCTCCTCAAGATTTTATTGTGTTATGACAATCCAGTTATACTCATTTTGTTATTGTACAATTAAATTATTATTGGCTGGGCAAGATGGCTCACACTTGCAATCCCAGCACTTTGGGAGGCCAAGGCGGGTGGATCACCTGAGGTCAGGAGTATGAGACCAGCCTGACCAACATGGTGAAACCCCATCTCTACTAAAAATACAAAAAATTAGCCAGGCGTGGTGGCAGGTGCCTGTAATCCCAGCTACTCAGGAGGCTGAGGCCTGAGAATCACTTGAACCTGGAAGGTGGAGGTTGCAGTGAGCCAAGATGGCACCACTGCACTCCAGCCTGGGGAATAGAGCAAGACTCTGTCTTGAAAAAAAAAAAAAAAAAAAAAATTATTGACTATAGTAATTCTGTTGTGCTCTCAAATGCTAGGTCTTATTCATTCTATTTTTGTTGTACCCATTAACCATCCCACCTCCTTCTCACCCTGCAGTATGCTTCCCAGACTCTGGTAACCATCCCCCTACTCTCTATCTCCATTTCAATTGTTTTGATTTTTAGATTCCACAAATGAGAACATGCAATGTTTGCCTTTCTCTGCCTGGCTTATTTCACATAGCATAATGACTTCCAGTTCCAGCCATGTTGCTGCAAATAACAGGATCTCATTCTTTTATATGGCTATAGTACTCCATTATGTATATGTACCACATTTTCTTTATCCATTCATCTGCTGACAAACATTCAGGTTGATTCCAAATGTGAGCTATTGTGAATCATGCTACAACAAACATGGGAGTGCAGATATCCCTTTGATATAATGATTGTCTTTCTTTGGGGTATATACCAAGGAGCAGGACTGCTGGGTCGTATGGTAGCTCTATTTTTAGTGTGTTGAGGAGCCTCAAAAATGTTCTCCATACTGGTTGTACTAATTTACATTCTCACCAACAGTGAATAGAATTTACTTTTCTCCACATCCTTGCCAGCATCTGCTATTATCTTTTGGATAAAAGCCATTTTAACTGAGGTGAGACGATATTTTACTGTAGTTTTGATTTGCACTTCTCTCATGATCAGTGATGTTGAGCACTTTTTCATATGCCTATTTACCATTTTGTGTTGTGTTTTGATAAATGCCTATTCAAACCTTTAGTCCATTTTAAAATCAGATCATTAGATTTTTTTTTCCTCTAGAGTTGTTTGAGCTCCATATATATTCTGGATAGTAATCCCTTGTCAGATGGGTAGTTTGCAAATATTTTCTCCTTCTCTGTGGGATGTCTCTTTCCACTGTTGTTTTGTTTGCTGTGCAGAAGCTTTGTAACTTGATGTGATTCCATTTGTCCATTTTTGCTTTGATTGTCTGCTCATGGGGTATCACTCAGGAAATTTTTGCTGAGATCAATCCATGGAGAGTTTCCCCAGTGTTTTCTTAGAGTAGTTTCATAATTTGAGGTCTTAGATTTAACTTAGATTTTTAAATCTGTTTTGATTTGAATTTTGTACATGGCAAAAGATAGGGGTCTAGTTTCATTTTTCTGCATATGGATATCCAGTTTTCCCAGCACCGTTTGTTGAAGAGGTGGTCTTTTCCCCAGCATATGTTCTTGGCACCTTTGTCAAAAGTGAGTTCACTGTAGGTGTGTGGATTTGCTTCTGGATTCTTTATTCTGTTCCATTTGTCTGTATGTCTGTTTTTATCTCACTACCATTCTATTGGTTACTATAGCTCTCTGGTAAAATCAGAAGTCAGGTAATGTCATGTCCTCAAGTTTTGTTCTTTTTGCTAAGGACAGCTTTGGCTATTCTGGGTCTTTTGTGATTCCATATAAATTTTAGGATTGTTTTTTCTATTCTAATGAAGAATGTCATTGATATTTTGATAGAGATTGAATTGAATCTATAGAATGTTTGGGGTACTATGAATATTTTAATAATATTGATTTTTCTAATCCATGAACATGAAATATCTTTCCATTTTTTGGTGTCCTATTCAATTTCTTTCATCAGTGTTTTGTGATGTTAATTCCTAGGTATTTAATTTTATTTGTCACTATTTTAAGTAGGATTTCATTTTCAGATTGTTTACTGTTGGTACATAGAAGTACTACTGATTTTTATATGTTGATTCTTATCCTGCAACTTTATTGAATTTGTTTATCAGTTCTAATAATTCTTTTGCAAGTCCTTAGGTTTGTCCAAATATAACATCATAACAGCTGAAAACAAGGATAATTTGACTTAATTCCAATTTGGATGGCCTTTATTCCTTTTTCTTGGCTTACTGCTCTAGCTAAGACTTCCAGTACTATGTTGAATAACAGTGGTGGAAGTGGACATCCTTGCTGTGTTCCAGATCTTGGAGGAAAGGCTTTCAGTTTTTCCCCCTTCCATATGTAACTAGCTGTGGCTCTGTCATAATGACTCTCATTTTATTTATACATATTATATTCCTTCTATACCCAGATTTGAAAAAAGGTTTTTGTCATGAAGGGATGTTGAAAGTGATCAAATGCTTTTCCAGTATCAATTAAAATGATCTTATGGTTTTGTTCTTCATTCTGTTGGCATGATGTATCCCAATGATTGATTTGCATATGTTGAACCATTCTTGCATCTTTAGGATAAATCCCACTTGGTGATTATGAATGATCTTTTTAATGTATTTTGTTAAATTCAGTTTGCTAATATTTTGTTGAGAATTTTGCATCAATATTTATCAGAGATATTTCCGTGTAGTTTTCTTTTTTTTTTGGTGTGTCTTTGATTATGGTATCAGGGTAATACTGGCCTCATAGGATGAGTTTAGAAGTATTCCCTATTTTTGGAAATAATTTGAGTAGGATTGGTATTAGGTCTTTATATGTTTGATAGAATTCAGCAATGAAGCCATCAGATCTAGGCTTTTCTTTACTGGAGTTTTTTTTTATTATGGCTTCCATCTCATTACTTGCTATTGGTCTGTTTGGGTTTTAGATTTCTTCATGGTTCAATCTGAGTAGGTTGTATGGGTTTAGGAATTTGTCCATTTCTTCTAGAAATTCCAATTCATTGGGATATTGTTACTCAGAGCAGCCACTGATGGTCCTTTGAAATTCTGTGGTATTGGTTGTAATGTCTCCTTTCTCATCTCTAATTTTATTTATTTGGATCTTCTCTCTTTTTTTGTTAGCTAGTCTAGCTAAAAATTTGTCAATTTTGTTTCATTTTTTAAAAGTTCAACTTTTAGTTTTATTTAGCCTTTTTGTATTGTGTTTCATTTCCATTTTACTTATTTCTACTCTGATCTTTATTATTGCTTTTATCTACTTTATCTACTTTTATCCACTTTATTATTGCTATTATCTACTGATTTGGGGTTTGGCTTGCTCTGCCTTTTCTAGTAAGAAGATGCATCATTTGGCTGTTTATTTGAACTGTTTCCTCTTTGTTGATGCAGGTACTTACAGCTATAAACTTCCCATTTAGTATTGCTTTTGTTGTATCTTACAGGTTTTGGCATGTTGGATTTCCATCATTATTTGTGTCAAGAAATTGTTCAATTTCCTTCTGAGTTTCTTCATTGACCCACTAGTCATTCAGGAGATACTCCTGAATGTTTAATTTCCATGTATTTGTATACTTTCCAAAATTCCTCTTGTTCTTGATTTCTAGTTTTATTGCACTGTGGTCAGAGAAGATGCTAGATATAATTTTAATTTTTTTACTGTTTTAAGACTTGTTTTATAAGATAACATATGATCTGATAGCAAGATCCAAGATGGCCAAATAGGAACAGCTCTGGGTTGCAGTTCCCAGCAAAAACGCAGAGGGTGAGTGATCACTGCATTTCCAAATGAATTTTTATGGCCCAAAGACCAGGAGATTCCCTGGTGGAAAAGCCACGAGTCTCCAGCATGGCTGTTTCAGCCATCGCAGTGGGTCTCCACACAAAAAGTCACACAAATCTGGGCACCATTTCAACTGGCGCCTGGAACACCTGGGAGACAGAGTCACCTGTTCAACTGAAAAAAAAAGGGGGCTGAAACAGGGAGCCAGGTGATCTGGCTTGGCCAGTCCCACCTCCACAAAGACCAGCAATCTGAAACGCTCTGGACTGAGAGTTTCACAGCAAGCACAGCTGGACCCAGGATTGTCCAGCTCTGTGTGGGGAAGAGCGTCTGATATTACCAAGGCAGTCCACCACTACTGAGGCAGTCCATCACTACCAAGGCAGTCCACCATTACCGAGGCAGTCTGCCATTACTGAGGCAGACTGCCATTACCAACACAGTTCTAACTATATCTCTATAAACAAAACTGCAAGGAAGTTCACACAGCAGCTGGGCAGAGTCCACCGCAGCTCAGCAATGCCTCTGCTGGCAGACTGTGACTAGGCTACCTCCTCACTGGCCAGGGCATCCCTGAAAAAAGACAGCAGCTCATCAAGAACTTATAAATAAAGCCCCATATTCCCAGAACAGAGCACCTGGGATAAAAAGGCATTTATGAGTTCCACTGCAGCAAACTTAAACGTACCTGCTCCTATAAGGGACAGGCTGTCTCCTCAAGCAGCTCCCCAAACCCCATATATCCAAAGAGACACCTCCTAAAGGAAAGCTCAGGCTGACATCTGGAGGGTATCCTTCTGGGACAAAGATAACAGAAGAAGAAACTGGCAGCAACCCTTACTGCTCTGCAGCCACTGCAGGCGATCCCCAGGCAAGCAGGGTCTGGAGTGGACCTCCAACAGTCCTACAGCAGAGGCGGCTGACTGTTAGAAGGAAAACTAAAAAGCAGGAAGAAATAACTTCAACATCACTCAGAGACCCCATCTGAAAGTCACCAACTACAAAGACCACAAGTAGATAAACCCACAAAGATAGGAAGAAACCAGTGCAAAAAGGATGAAAACATCCAAAACCAGAATGCGTCTCCTCCTCCAAGGGATCACAACTCCTCACCAGCAAGGGAACAAGGCTGGACAGAGAATGAGTCTGATGAATTGACAGAAACAGGCTTCAGAAGGTGGGTAGTAACACACTTCACTGAGCTAAAAGAACATATTCTAACCCAATGCAAAGAAACTAAGAACCTGAAAAAAGGTTTGATGAAATGCTAATGAGAATAAACAGCCTAGAGAGGAATATAAATGAATTGATGGAGCTGAAAAATATAACATGAGAACTTTGTGAAACATACACAAGTTTCAATAGCTGAATCATCCAAGCAGAAGAAAGGATATCAGATATTGAAGATCAACTCAATGAAATAAAATGAGAAGGCAAAATTAGAGAAAAAAAGAGTAAAAAGAAATGAACAAGGCCTCCAAGAAATATGGGATTAGGTGAAAAGACCTAATCCACGTTTGATAGGTGTACCTTAATGTGACAGAGAGAATGAATCCAAGCTGGAAAACACTCTTCAGGATATTATCCAGGAGAACTTCCCCACCTAGCAAGGCAGACCAATATTCAAGTCCAGTAAAACAGAGAACACCACAAAGATATTCCTCAAGAAGAGCAACCCCAAGGTACATAATTGTCAGATTCACAAGGGTTGAAATTAAGGAGAAAATGTTAAGGGCACCCAGAGAGAAAGGTCAGATTACCCAAAAAGGGAAGCCCATCAGACTCACAGCAGATCTCTCAGCAAAAACCCTACAAGCCAGAAAAGAATAGGGGTCAATATTCAACAACCTTAAAGAAAAGAACTTTCAACCTAGAATTTCATAACCAGCCAAACTAAGCTTCATAAGCGAACCAGCAATAAAATCCTTTATGAACAAGCAATTACTCAGAGATTTCATCACCACCAGGCCTGCCTTACAAGAGCTCCTGAAAGAAGCAATAAATATAGAAAGGAACAACCAGTACCAGCCACTCCAAAAATGTACCAAATGGTAAAGAGCATCAACACAATGAAGAAACTGTGTCAACTAATGGGCAAAACAACCAGCTAGCATCAAAATGGCAGGATGAAATTCACACATAAAAATATTAACCTTAAATGTAAATGGGAAAAATGCCCCAATCAAAAGATACAGACTGGCAAATTGGATAAAAAGTCTAAACCCATCAGTGTGCTGTGTCCAGGAAACCCATCTCACATACAAGGATACACATAGGCTCAAAATAAAGGGATGGAATAAGATTTACCAAGTAAATGGAAAGCAAAAAAATAAAATAAAATAAAATCGGAGGAGTTGCAATCCTAGTATCTCATAAAATAGACTTTAAACCAACAAAGATCAAAAGAGACAAAGAAGGGCATTACATAATAGTAAAAGGATCAATGCAACAAGAAGAGCTAACAATCCTAAATATATATGCACCTAATACAGGAGCACCCAGATACATAAAGCAAGTTCTTAATGACCTACAAAGAGTCTAAGTCTACAAAGAGACTTTCACACAGTAAAAGTGGGAGACTTTAACACTCCACTGTCAATATTAGACAGATCAATGAGACAGAAAATTAACAGGGATATCCAGGACATGAACTCAGATCTGGACCAAGCAAACCTAATAGACATTTACAGAACTCCCCACCTCAAATCCATAGAATATACATTCTTCTCAGCACCACATTACACCTACACTAAAATTGACCAGATAATTAGAAGTAAATCACTCCTCAGCAAATGCTAAAGAATGAAAATCATAACAAATAGTCTCTCAGACCACAGTGCAATCAAATTAGAACTCAGAATTCAGAAACTAACTCAGAACGGCACAATTTCACGGAAACTGAACAACTGGCTCTTGAATGTTGACTGGATAAACAATGAAATGAAGGCAGAAATAAAGATGTTCTTTGAAACCAACGAGAACAAAGACACAACATACAAGAATCTCTGGGACACATTTAAAGCAGTGTCTAGAGGAAAATTTATAGCAATAAATGCCCACATGAGAAGCAAGGAAATATATAAAATCGACACCCTATTGTCAAAATTCAAAGAGCTAGAGGAACAAGATCAAAAACACTCAAAAGCTAGCAGAAGACAAGAAATAACGAAGAACAGAGCAGAACTGAAGGAGATAGAGAGGCAAAAAAAACCCCTTCATAAAATCAATAAATCCAGGAGCTGGTTTTTTGCAAAGATCAACAAAATAGACAGATTGCTAGCCAAATTAATAAAAAAGAAAAGAGAGAATAATCAAATAGATGCAATAAAAAATGATAAAGGGGATATCACCACAGATTCCACAGAAATACAAACCACCATCAGAGATTACTACAAACAACTATGTACACATAAACCAGTAAACCTGGAAGAAATGGATAAATTCCTGGACACTTGCATCCTTCCAAGCCTAAACCAGGAAGAAGTCGAAACCCTGAATAGACCAATAACAAGGTCTTGAGGCAGCAATTAATAGCCTACCAACCAAAAAAAGCCCAGGTCCAGATAGGTTCACGGCCTAATTCTACCAGACATACAAAGAAGAGCTGGTATCACTCCTTCTGAAATGATTCCAAACAATACAAAAAGAGGGAATCCTTCCCAAATCATTTATGAGACCAACATCATCCTGCTATCAAAATCTGGCAGAGACTCAACAAAAACAGAAAACTTCAGGCCAATATCCATGATGAACATAGATGCAAATATTTTCAATAAAATACTGGCAAACCGATTGCAACAGCATATCAAAAAGCTTATCCATCACGATCAAGTAGGCCTCATCCCAGGGATGCAAGGCTGGTTTAACATATGCAAGTCTATAAACGTAATTCACCACATAAACAGAACCAAAGACAAAAACCACATGATTATCTCAATAGATACAGAGAAAGCCTTTGACAAAATTCAACAGCCCTTTATGCTAAAAACCCTCAATAAATTAGGTATCAACAGAACGTATCTCAAAATAATAAAAGCTATTTATGACAAACCAACAGCCAATTTCATACTGAATGGGCAAAAACTGGAAGCGTTCCCTTTGAAATCTGGCACTAGACAAGGATGCCCTCTCTCACGCCTCCTATTCAATATAGTACAGGAAGTTCTAGCCAGAGCAATCAGGCAAGAAAAAGAAATAAAGGGCATTCAATCAATTAGGAAAGGAGGAAGTCAAATTGTCTCTATTTGCAGATGACATGATTGTATATTTAGAAGACCCCATTGTCTCAGCCCCAAATCTCCTGAAACTGATAAGCAACTTCAGCAAAGTTTCAGGATACAAAATCAATGTGCAAAAATCAAAAGAATTCCTATATACCAATAACAGACTTAAAGAAAGCCAAATCAAGAAGGAACTGCCATTCACAATTGCTACAAAGAGAATAAAATACCTAGGAATACAACTAACAAAGGATGTAAAGGACCTCTTCAAGGAGAACTACAAACCACTACTCAATGAAATAAGAAAGGACACAAATAGATGGAAAAACATTCCATGATCATGATTAGGAAGAATCAATATTGTGAAAATGGCCATAATGCTTGAAGTAATTTATAGATTCAATGCTATCCCCATCAAGCTACTTATGACTCTCTTTACAGAACTGGAAAAAACCACCTTAAACTTCATATGGAACCAAAAGAGAGCCCACATAGCCATGTCAATCCTAAGCAAAAAGAACAAAGCTGGAGGCATCACACTACCTGACTTCAAACTATACTACAAGGCTACAGTAATCAAAACAGCATGGTACTGTTACCAAAACAGAGATATAAACCAACGGAACAGAACAGAGGCCTCAGAGGCAGAGCCACACATCTACAACCATCTGATCTTTGAAAAACCTGACAAAAACAAGCAATGGGGAAAGGATCCCCTGTTTAATAAATGGTGTTGGGAAAACTGGCTAGCCATGTGCAGAAAGCAGAAACTGGACTCCTTCCTGACACCTTACACTAAAATTAACTCCAGATGGATTAAAGACTTAAACCTAAGACCTAACATCTTAAAAACCCTAGAAGAAAAGCTAGGCAAAACCATTCAGGACATGAGCATAGGCAAGACTTCATGTCTAAGACACCAAAAGCATTGGCAACAAAAGCCAAAATAGACAAATGGGACCTAATTAAACTCCAGAGCTTCTGTACAGCAAAAGAAACAATCATTAGAGTAAACCAGCAACCAACAGAATGGGAAAAAATTTTTGCAATGTACCCAGAATTTACAAAGAACTGAAACAGATTTACAAGAAGAAAAAAAAACCCATTCAAAAGTGGGTGAAGGATATGAACAGACACTTTTCAAAAGAAAACATATATGAGGCCAACAAACATGAAAAAATGGTCGTCATCACTGGTCATCAGAGAAATGCAAATCAAAACTACATTGAGATACCATCTCACACCAGTTAGAATGGTGATCATTAAAAATCTGGAGACAACAGATGCTGTAGAGGATGTGGAGAAATAGCAACACTTTTACACTGTTTGTGGGAGTGTAAATTAGTTCAACCATTGTGGAAGACAGTGTGGTGATTCCTCAAGGACCTCGAAATAGAAATTCCATTTGACCCGGCAATCCCATCTATAATGGAAGGATTATAAATCATTCTATTAGAAAGCTACATGCACACATATGTTCACTGCAGCACTGTTTACAATAGCAAAGACTTGGAACCAACCCAAATGCCCACTGATGATAGACTGGACAGGGAAAATGTGGTACATATATACCATGGAATACTATGCAGCCATAAAAAATGATGAGTTTGTGTCCTTTGTAGGGACATGGATGAACCTGGAAACCATCATTCTCAGCAAACTGAAACAAGAACAGAAAATCAAACACCACATGTTCTCACTCATAGGCAGGTGTTGAACAATGAGAAGACATGGACACAGGGAGAGGAGCATCACACACTGAGGTCGGTTGGTGGAGACTATGGGAGGGACAGGGGGTAGGGAGTTGGGGAGGGATAACATGGGGAGAAATGCCAGATATAGATGATGGATGGAGGCAGCAAACCACATTGCCATGTATGTATCTATGCAACAATCCTGCATGTTCTTCACATGTACCCCAGAACCTAAAGTGCAATTAAAAAAAAAAAAAAAAATATATATATATATATATATATATATATATATATATATATAAAGATAACATATAATCTATCCTTGAGAATGATGTATGTGCTGAGGAAAAGAATGTGTATTCTGCAGCCATTGAATAAAATGTTCTGTAAACATCTATTAGGACAATTTGGTGTATACTGCATATTAAGTCTGATCTTTGTTGATTTTCTGTCTGAAAGATCTGTCCAAGGCTGAAAGTGGGGTATTGAAGTCTCCAGCTATTATTGTACTGGGATATAGCTCTTTAGTTCTAATATTTGCTTTATGTATCTGGGTACACTAGTGTTGGGTGCATATATATTATAAATTGTGTCCATACCCAAATCAGATACTTTTAAAATAAAATAGTTGTATCCTTTTGTGGAACTGACCCCTTTATCATTATATACTGACCTTCTTTGTCTCTTCTTAGAGTTTTTGTCTTTATGTCTATTTTTTCTGTGTTAAGTATAGCTGCTCCTACCTTTTTTTTTTTTTGGTTTCCATTGGCATGGAATATCTTTTTCCATCCCTATTTCAGTATTTATGTGCTTTTGCATTTGCATTAGATTAGGGGTAATAACCATTGAATACTATGTAAGTAGAATGTGTTTCCTAGAGGCAACAGATCGCTGGGTCTTGCTTTTTCATATCCATTCTACCACTCTATATCTTTTGATTGTAGAATTCGGTCCATTTACATGCAATGTTACTATTGCTAAGTAAGGACTTTGTCCTGCCATTTTATTATTTATTTCTAGTTCTTTTGTAGTCTTCTTTCTTTCCTTACAGTCTTCACTTTTCTCTGGTGATATGATTTAATTTGTTGCTTTTTATTTTTCTTGTATTTGTTGTATGTTTTAGCATTTGGGGTTATTATGAGACTTGCAAATACTATCTTATAACCCATTATTTTAAGCTGATAACACCTTAACATGGTTTGCATAAAGAAACAAGCAAAAAGAAAACTAGTAAGATTCTATGCCTCAACTTCATCCGCTTGTTTTTTACCTTTTTATTGTTTCTACTTAAATATTATTGACTTTGTCTTGCAAAGTTGTTGCAGCTATTCTTTTTTATTGGTTCATCATTTAGTCTTTCTACTTCAGTAAGAGTAGTTTACACATCATGGTACAGTGTTATAATACTCTGTGTTTTTCTATGCACTTACTGTTACCAATGAGTTTTGTACCTTCAGATGAGTTCTGATTGCTCATTAAAGTCCTTTTCCTTCTTATTAAAGTACTCCCTTCGCATTTCTTGTAGGACAGGTCTAGGGTTGATGAAATCCCTCAGCTTTTGAGTTGTCCCTCAGCTTTTGTTTGGGAAGGTATTTGTGTCTCCATGTTTGAAGAATGTTTTTGCCAGACATACTATTGCAGGGTAAGAGCATTTTTTCCCTTTAGCATTTTAAATATGTCATGTTGGCCAGGCACAGTGGCTCACACCTGTAATCCCAGCACTTTGGGAGGCCAAGGGGGGCCGATCATGAGGTCAAGAGATGGAGACCATCCTGGCCAACATGGTGAAACCCTGTCTCTACTAAAAAAAAATACAAAAATTAGCTGGGCATGGTGGTGTGCACCTGTAGTCCCAGCTACTCGGGAGGCTGAGGCAGGAGAATTGCTAGAACCTGGAAGGAAGAGGTTGCAGTGAGCCGAGATCACACCACTACACTCCAGCCTGGTGCCTGGTGACAGAGCGAGACCCTGTCTCAAAAAAAACAAAAATACGTCATGTCACTCTCTCCTTGCCTATAAGGTGTCCACAGAAAGTCTGCTGCCAGATGTATTGGACTTCCATTATATGTTATTTGCTTTTCTCTTACTGTTTTTAGGATTTATTCCTTATCCTTGACCTTTAGGAATTTGATTATTATTATTGCTTTTTTTTTTTTTTTTTTTTTTGAGATGGAGTTTCACTCTTGTTGCCCAGGTTGGAGTGTAAGAATCTTGGCTCACTGCAACCTCCGCCTTCTTGGTTCAAGCAATTCTCCTGCCTCAGCCTCCCAAGTAGCTGGGATTACAGGTGCTCACCACCACTCCCAGCTAATTTTTTGTAGTTTTAGTAGAGATAGGGTTTCACCATATTGACCAGGCTGGTCTCAAACTCCCAACCTCAGGTGATCCACCCACGTTGGCCTCCCAAAGTGCTAAGATTACAGGCATCCGCCACTGCACCCAACCTGTCTCTCTCTCTTTCTCAAAATATCTTATTGTACTGTACTCACCTATATTTAGACCAAGTTTGAGCGCATGTAAGTGAAGTCACAGAAGACAAATCTGTGGATAAGGGCAGACTACTGTATACAGTCTGATGGACCTTCTTTCTAATCTTTACATATTTTCTACATCTTTATCTCTCTATAGTTGGATCTTGGGTAATTTCCTCAGATATATCTTCCAGGTCACTACTTTTTTTGTGTTTTGAGATGGGAGTTTCACTCTTGTTGCCCAGGGTAGAGTGCAATGGTGTGATCTCAGCTCACTGCAACCTCCACCTCCCAGGTTCAAGCAATTCTCCTGCCTCAGCCTCCCGAGTAGCTAGGACTACAGATGCGCACCACTATGCCCAGCAAGTCTTTGTATTTTTAGTAGAGACAGGGTTTCACCATGTTGACCAGGATGGTCTTGATCTCTTGACCTCATGATCCACCTGTCTTGGCCTCCCAAAGTGCTGGGATTACAGGCATGAGCCACCATACCTGGTTGTCACTACTTCTTTATACAGTTGTATTAACCTCCTGTTTAACCTTCTATCCATTTGATTTCTTAATTTCAATGATCAGGGTTTTAATTTCTATTATTTTTATATTTTAGAGATGGGGTCACTCTCTGTTGACAGGCTGAAGTGCAGTGGCATAATTCATAACTCACTGCAGCTTCACACTCCTGGATTCTGGGAAGCCTCCCATCTCAGCCGCCAGAGCAGCCGGGACTAGAAGCACATGCCAACATGCCCTGCTAATTTTTTTTTTTTAATTATTTTGAAGACAGGGTCTCACCACGTTGCCCAGGCTATTCTCAGACTCTTGGCCTCAAGCCATTCTCCTGCCTCAGTCTCTAGAGCAGCTGGGACTACAGGCACACACCACTACACCTAGCTAGGTTTTATATTTCTAAAAGTACTATTTTGTTTTTTCAAATTGGCTAATTATTTGATTGTCTCCTATTGTTCCTCATGTTTTCAATGCCATCTTCATATTTTAAAACATATCGAGTTGTTTACTTTAATTCTGATAATTATAATATCCAAAGTCTTTGTGTTCTGGTTCTATCATCTATCACTTGCTTTACCTCTTTTTTTATTATGAATTTTTTATTGGCTGGCTATCTTTAGGAATTCTTTGAGGATTGAGGAGGATACACTTATCAAGGAAAGTTTGTGTTTGTTTTCATACACCTTGGAATATTACCCATCCTGACAGCCTTTGAATTATAGATGTGTGGGGCTGGTATGATGGCATGTGCCTGTAATCCCAGCTACTCAGAAGGTCAAGGCAGGAGGCTCACTTGAGGGCAAAGGAGTTCCAGGCCACAGTGTGCTATGACTGTGCCTGCAAGTAGCCTCTGCACTCCAGCGTGCGCAACATAGCAAGACCATGTCTCTACAATTAAATAAATAAGGCTGGGCATAGTGGCTCATGACTGTAATCCTGGCACTTTGAAAAGCCGAGGCAGGTGGATCACCTGAGGTCAAGAGTTCGAAAATACAAAAATTAGCCAGGCATGGTGGCAGGTGCCTGTAATCCCAGCTACTTGGGAGGCTGAGGCAGGAGACTTGCTTGAACCTGGAAGGCGGAGGTTGCAGTAAGCCAAGATCATGCCACTGCATTCCAGCCTGAGCAGCAAGAGCAAAACTCTGTCTCTCAGAATAATAATAATGATAATAATAATAATAATAATTGCCAGGCACAGTGGCTCACACATGTAATTCCAGCACTTTGGGAGATGGAAGTGGGCAGATCACCTGAGGTCAGGAGTTTGAGACCAGCCTGGCCAACCTGGTGAAACCCTGTCTCTACTAAAAATATAAAAATGAGCTGGGTGCAGTGGGATGTGCCTGTAATCCCAGCTTAATCGAGAGGCTGAGACAGGAGAATCACTTGAACCCAGGAGGCAGAGGTTGCAGTGAGCTGAGTTGTGCCTCTGCACTCCAACCTGGGCAAAAGAGCATGACTCTGTCTCGGGAAAAAAAAAATTAAATTAATAAGTAAATAAAGTATAGACTTGTGGTTTTTCAATCATGCAAAGAATGTAGATTCAGATCCCAAACCACTTAATATCTGGCCAGTGGCTACAAATTCTTAGAGGAGGCTTTATTTCTTCTTTTAAACTTCCATTCATCGCCCAGCCCAAGATGGAAATGTTTTCTCCACTTTTGCAGGATGGGTGTTTCTTCTGACTTGCCCATCCTGAGCTCCAGGCAGTATACATGAAGCTAAGCTTTCATTCTGTGTGGACTCAAGGCTTTGTCCCCTGTCTTCCATGTGTAGTAATACCAACTCAACCACAGTAGGACAGGGCACCAGTCAGAGTTGTGAGGCCCTAATTCTTGGATAACATGTCTAGAAACACCCTGGGCCAGAAGGGAAATTGCTGCCTTGAGAAAAACACAGTCTTGGCAGGATTTATCACCTGCTGACTAAGAGCCCTTAGGCCCTTAGTAATCGGTAACAGTACCCAGGCAGTACTTGCTGTGGGATTGGGTAAGACTCAGAGATTTGCTGATTTAAGCTGTGACTCAGCACATTTCTAGCTGTGGTGGCTATAGGGAGGGGCTACTTCTGCTTAAGAAAAGGAGTACTCTCAAATGTAATGAAGATCTTGTCTTGCAGCTTAGGTATCAACTGAGCACAGTGAGATGGGCACCAAATGGGCTCTTGGGGTCCTTGATTTCAGGCCTTGGCTCTTAAACGATATTTTGAGACCTGACCTAAGCCAGAGGGGAGCTTACTGCCTGAAGGGAGAGTCCCAAACCTAGCAGCATTCAACACAAGCTGA